ATCAATTCAGGTGAATATGACTGAAAAATTTCATTTTTTCTGAAAAGGTGGTGTCTATTTACTTGTGACCACGCTGTGTGTATATATCGACAGCTGTCTTTGCAACTAATAAAATGTATGGACTATTATCAAAAAATACCAGTTTTCACTAAAAGAAAAGAAGGCAAGAAATCCCATTACTTGAAATCACACTAAATAATTTGTGTGCAGTTATATCACTGTTTCTAGTATACAGCCAGACCAAGTAAATAAGTGAAAAGATATCATAAAATATCTCTCTGCTTCTAGTTTTGATTTTTATCATAAACAGCTTGTATTGAATTCTATACAATGTGTACATTATCATATAATAATATATACACACAACGTGTACTTTATTTAAATTTTGTGATAACATTCATACATTGTTATGTCTCATTATTTTTGTGAGTATTTTGACCTCTGACTGAAAACTAAATGTTTTCGAAATTATTTTCTTTCAATAGCATAACAAATACTTTGTAGGCTTATAACTACATAGTGTTACATTTTAGGCCAATACTATTGCTCCTATTTTTCTTTCCAATACATCACACAAGTTGACAAGCTGATTGGCCACTTGTGTTACTTGGTACATCACATAAGTTAACAAGCTGATTGGCCACTTGTGTTACTTGGTACATCACATAAGTTAACAAGCTGATTGACCACTTGTGTTGTTTGGTACATCACATAAGTTAACAAGCTGATTGTCCACTTGTGTTGTTTGGTACATCACATAAGTTAACAAGCTGATTGGCCACTTGTGTTACTTGGTACATCACATAAGTTAACAAGCTGATTGGCCACTTGTGTTACTTGGTACATCACATAAATTAACAAGCTGATTGGCCACTTGTGTTGTTTGGTACATCACATAAGTTAACAAGCTGATTGGCCACTTGTGTTACTTGGTACATCACATAAGTTAACAAACTGACTGTCCTCTTGTGTTGCTTGGTATATCATATAAATTAACAAGCTGATTGGCCACTTATGTTGTTTGGTACATCACATAAGTTAAGCTGCCTGACCACTTGTGTAGCTTGGTAGGTCACTTTTGGTAAAGTGTGCATGTTTTGTAATAACAATGCCATATTGGGCTACCTGTTGTATCCACTGAGGGGAATTGGGTAAAGAGGAATGAACATGAAGTACACCCATCCAACTAATGTATGGTCTTGTGGTAACAGTGAATTAAGCTTATAAGAAGACATTAACTGTAACAAAAATGTATAAAAACATATCCACTCTCAGAGATTTCTTACAAGTCTCACAGATTGATGTCCATCTTAAAGACCCATTGAAGCATGCACCAAAATAATGGAAAATTAATAAATTCAGCAATTGGTGAGGTCACCTGCTTTCAAAATATACCACAGACGACAAGTCTCAGTTATCCAGATCTACCACATGGTTAACGGATTTTATAATTGCTGCTATTCTCGGATTCATGTATTGGATGGTTCAACGAGTAAACCGTACGTTCCTAGAACTATCAAAATTATCTACATGCATTCTATCTTTAACATTATCTTGCATAAAAAAAAATAAGAAGTCATTCTTCTGCTTCTGGACCCTGGTACAGCATTAACTAAACTTCTGGAACTACTTACCCTAATAAGTACTGCTGATGTGGAGTTATGACTACTGGCACCACTACTCTTCATTTGATGGTTGGCTCTTCTTGTTATAGGCTAGTTTTTGACTTCATCTATAGTTTCTATACTGTTAAACCTGCTTGCTTTCGTCACCCTATTAAAATATTTCAATAATTCTCTTTCCTTACTGTTTAGTCTTTAATTAGGGTATCTCCAAGCAAAATAACCCCACTGACTCTACCACGTGTAACAAGTAGGAGACACAAGATGAAGCTAAATATATCTACAACAGCAACTGCAGTGGAATGTATAGTAAAAATTGTTTCGTGATCATCACAACAAGGAAAGTTCAGTGGAAACAAAGAATTGTGCTGTTTAAACTAATAAAATGGGGTACATTTACATGTGACCTATTGGTTAATGTGCTGGGCTTTGCAGGGTCAAGTCTAAAGTATGTTGCTTAACATGTTCTGCACTTTCAGCTGTGGGAACATTATGAAAGCGAGTCAATCCCACTAATTAGTCATGAGTAGCCAAGTAAACAACAGGTGTTGTCAATTGGCTACCCTCTCTCTCTGGTCAGCTGTTCAAAATCAGTGATCTTTATATCTGAACCTTGAGGTTACTGATCTGGCTATTTAGTCAAATGGCATACAAGGTACTGTCCAGAATGAAAATCAAAGCATTAAAATAAAATATGTTGATTACTAGTTAATTGGAAAAGTGTTAAATCGGTAAATTTGAGTGAAAAATGTTTTTCATGTGGTATTTGATAATCAACAGTTATAATTTCTGTTAATTATCCACTGGTAAGCCAAATTAAAAGTGAGCCATTGCTAGATTTTAAGCAGTGGTTATGAAAAATGTCCAAAGCTTTTACTGCGTATTAACAATATAGTCACCATTTAAAATTTCTATCTTTATCTTAATAGTTTACAATCTGAATGTGTCTGTCTAGGTATAGCCAAACATTAGGAACTGTGGGAGAAAATCATGATATCCATTAATGAAAGAATGCAAGGAGGTGCTAATAAAAATTAAGAATGCAACATAAGCTAGACACATCAATACTATGCAAGTACACTTCTAACTATATATTTGCTGGCTACTGCATGCATTACTTTAATTGTTCCTACTAAATACATCTTTTTTCCTATCTCTTTCCATTTACTTCAGATGTGAAAACACCATTACAACATGAATTTTATAAACATGCCAGCCATGTTTATCTGACATGTGACCAACGTATTTGTGACTAGTTAACGTGACCCAAGAACACCAGATAACCTTAGCCATGGATTTACCTCATTTGGTCATAATATTAGGAGGAAAGACAAACAACCAAAACCAAGATCATGCTAGAAATGTCCAAATTATCAAAGACTTCAATTACTGAAATCTTCCATGTACCCGAGGACAACTTGATTTGATCAACACACTAGTAGAGTTCAATACCGGCCAAGGAACAGAATTCTCCACCCTCCAACTATGGAGTTCCATCACAATAGGTTTGTCAGTGCTCAGTCCAGGTAACATGGCACTGTTCCTTTATAAAAACTATCCAAGCAATGTTGAATCAGTGCTGCTTATTGCTTTATCAAAGCTTCTCCACCTCCACCCTCCAACTATGGAGTTCCATCACAATAGGTTTGTCAGTGCTCAGTCCAGGTAACATGGCACTGTTCCTTTATAAAAACTATCCAAGCAATGTTGAATCGGTGCTGCTTATTGCTTTATCAAAGCTTCTCCACCTGTTTCAAAGATGATAAGAAGCCAACAGTTCAGATCACCCTTATCATCAGGCAGGCTGAAATTAAAGTACTTAACCAACGTACTCCAACCCAGTATTGAAGGGAAAGTTTCATATACTAGGGCACAACTTAAGAGATTGGTTTAAAATAAATGCATCTTTTTTTATGAAAATTAAATCAAGATTTAGATAAAATCAAATTATAAATGTATATCTCAGATAAAGTAATGCAGAAGCTCATAGTACTTCTTCATACACATAATAACTAAGTTCCACAATTTAATACTTTATTGTGGAGATTTTTTGTATCCTTCTTAACCCTAAAATTACCAATGAGGTCCATACATTTACCTATCTATTTGAAATACAATTATCTAAATTATTTATGGATCAAATTACTCATGGATTTTTTTTTGTCTGCAAGATTCCTAATAACATTAGTCATGCAAGTTAAAATATACTATCAATATTGAAACTAATCACTGCTAGGGTTTACTTGAATGGGTTAGTTTTTGTACACTGAGTGTTATGTCAGTGTTATGTGGACCCACCAGTAACAAATGATATGTAAACTAGCCAGTCACGGAGGAGTAAAATGAATGTGTGTGTATATATATTTCCTTTTGTTTTTTTTAAATAACAGACCCACATGTAACTTACAAAGTCATTACTAATTTCATCCATTAACAACCAAATACGCAGTCAAAATAATACAAGAACTCTATAAAATTATTATAACAGAATATAGCTCCAGGAAAAATTGACCACCTTTATGTTAAACACACTATTACAACACCTGCCTGATATTAATGTAATATCAGAGTCTGTAGTTTGAACTAAAAGACGATATATTTCCTTGTAAGATTTGTTTCGGAAATTTGCACAAAGCTACATGAAAGATATCTGCACTACATGTTATTACTGTTGAACTGACAGATCAGAGAGAAGACAGTTAGTGAACAGCACCCATCACATATTCTTGGACATGAGCCATGATCCCTCAGATTCAGAGTTTGACACTCTCACCAACAGGTCACACCTGGCCCTTTTAGGAAAAAATCTGATAATTGTCTATTCCAAAAAAACTGAAAATTAAGTATTTTGAAGTTGTACTTGCTCACTTTTAGCTTGTAAAAGTTACATACAAGTCATTCCCACCATAAAGTACATACCTATAATTCTGGTTTAATTTTTTGTTTTTCAAATCTTGAAAAAAAAGCAAAGTTATGCATTAAAGTGATTACAATAGCATACATTACTTCAGCACTGAAACTCATCAACAAACTTTGTTCTTTTATTTTGTAACAGTGTAACCAAAAAAAAAAGTGACCATCTTTCACAAAGTGTCCATACAAATCAAACACGGAATGTTTCTGGAAGGTACCAGTTTTAAAATGGTTGTAAGTTTACGTTGTATCTATACCCAAGCATTATTTAAAATGAATCATTTATCAACAAGATTTATAAATGTAATATTGTTCAAATTTAGCTGGAAAAAAAATAGTTTATGGTTGTGAGAAAACAATACTTGTCATTACATAATCTCTTATGCTATGTAAAAAGAAAAACAGAAAGTTAAAAGGGCTCTTTTACCCGAACTGAGGAGTCAAGCAAGTTGATTCTACACTGACAAAAATGCCTTTTATTTCATTTTAACATTTTACATGTCAAAAGTGACAAGTAAGACACCAAATATGATATATACAATGTTGCTACTACTAAAATTCCATGTAATTAAATTCTAAATGCTTTCAACTCCAAAAGAAAAAAAATGACTGACTTTTAAAAATGTCCAAGCATTTCTTCACATGAATGATTTAAAAAGAAATTATATATTAATACAAGATAATGACAAAACAGAATACTGTATCAGTCATTCAAAGGAAAAAAAAAATTAATTGCATTAGCAGTTGAAATTTGAACATATTTTTTATGTCTTATTATCTAACCACACTTTTTATTGTTTGTAGATTAAACAAATAAACATAAGAGAACAGATATGCCAGTTATTCAGTTTTTTGCAACAGATCATGAACAAAATTTTCAGGCCAATAAAGTCCAAACATAAAAAGCAGGCTTATTTTCTGTAAGAAAATTATAATGTTCAAACCTCTTACATGTAAAATGGTAACTTTATATGCTCTTTTATAAACTATCTTCTTAAAGTAGGCAAATCCTTGCCATTTCAGGTTTCCTAGTAAACTTACAAAGTGAAATAATTAGGACAAATACAAAAAGTTTATTACAACATAGTTGTACATCAGACTTGTATTGGCTTCTAAATTACTGTGTAAAATCAGAACAGACAAGGATTTATGAAATTTCATGCCAAACTGAAGTGCAGCAATCATGCTGAAATTCATACTCTAGTCTCTTCTCAATGTCTTAGTAGTAGTACTTACGAGGAGAGTATGAACGAGATCTCGAACGAGAATATCTGCGTCCACGGTAATACGGCGATGGAGAACGCCCTCTGTAGCTGCCGCTACTGCCACCACCATATCTTGGACTTTGAAAAGAAATAAGAAGGTATATAAACCATATATGCTTTTACAAATATCACTAAAAAATTTCACTACCTACATTAACTACATCTTATGCACAAAAGTTGTCAACCAATACAGTATTTTCTTAAAATTCAAAAATATTTTTAAACCCCAATTATTGTTAAAGTTTAATTTGAAAATAAATTAGACAAAAACAAACAAAAAGACAACTAGGTTGATTAAGTATTAAATGCATAGTAATCAAATGACTTGAGAATAAAGAAAGAATAGCGGTTAAATTTTAAAAACTAAACTTTAACACATTTTAACTCGGATTAGAAATAAATATATCAAAAAGCAACGGGAAATTCTACTGATCTCAACTTTTCTATATTCTCTATGATGTTCGTTATTAATACTTTTAATGGCAGCTTGAGAAAATGTATTTCAATGCTTTATTAAATTAATTTTAAATACTCACAAGGTAGGTTTCCCCATATATATTCCTGGAGTTGGCGTATGAGCTCTTTTGGTGATTGAGAAGTCAACTCTAATTTTTCTCCCATCAATTTCTAGTCCATTACATCTCTCCTTAGCCTATTAGGAGTAGAGACAAGGGAACTCTTAACATTTGTGATGAAAGAATGATTAAATTCAGATAAAAAGTCCCTCATTAAATGGCATACAGCACAAGCTTTATTAGATACAATGATTCACAACATTAATTTTGTGTTATATACATTTAATTTGCTTGTATATAACTTTGATCCATGCTTCCTAACCTTCAGTAACATCACACAGTCGCAATTTGTACGAACAATACTTAAACGGCACAATCAAAGAGTGGGTTATAATTATGTAGTCATTTACATGCTACCCCAATGAGAAAGTAGTGATTAGTTGCTCTTCATTTATGGAGAACCAAATACAAGTTAAACGGATAATGATGGATGTAAACTGTTTGTTGCTGTTATTTGCTCTATGAAATGGGTGAGATCATATGGAACACTGAGATACTGTTAATGGGTTCATAATTATACTTCAACCCGTATATCTCCAACATTAAATGAAAACCAGTATCTAAGGGTATTTGATTAAATACTTAGGTTTTAATATATTTATGTATTTTAAAAATCATATGGCTCATTATAAAAAAAATAAAAAAGTTATTGGTCGGAGACAACAGTCAAGTATAACTTATGCTCAGTAAAGAGTTAACTGAATGTCATGTGAGCATTCTGTGTTCTAATACATTGGCATGCTGATTCAGATGCAAGTGATATCACTATGGAAACATTTTGAATACCAGTACACAAACACACACATATACCATATTTTCATGTAAATACTCTACCCCGATATACCCCACACCTGAAGAAACAGATAATTAATGACGACTAAGAATATTTCATGATAACAAGAGTACAAACTTTTGATAGATAAACATTTGAAATTATAACATATTGACATACTGTTTGAAGCATTCAAAGCTGATATTTAGTTTTTATGCAATACTACTGAAACATTAAAAAACAGAGTTAGAAACTTGCTTTTGTGCCTATTTCATGAAGATAATTTGTAACAGTCTAAATCTATGGTGTTAAGATATGATCACAAGACCTTTTACACCGCACTGCCATAAATACGTGTGGAATCACCTTGAACAGATAACATGGCTCATCTAATGTGCTCTCAGTGCCAAAATGTTGTTAACTATGCAAATGTCAGGAGTACATTTTAAGAATCCCTTAACTGATTTCAAGAACTTTTTACAAAAAATAGATAAAAAATAACTTGCAGAACTAAGAAAATAGAATAAATGAAAGGTATTAATGTTATGATATTTTTGCTTTAAAAAAAAACTATTTCAAGTGAATGATCGAGCAATTAATGATATTTTCAGCAGTCAAAACGCTTGAAATATCAAATTATGTATCAAGTGTGTTAATTAATGTTGAAGTTACTTGCACCAACTTACAGAAAATGTTAAAGAATACTTGAATAAAATATTAAATAATTTTGGGACAAATAATTAAAAAGAATTGCAATTACCTTTATCATACCCCTTTATAACAAATGACCAGCATCCAACTGATAACAGGTGTAGTTCAGTTAGTACAAAACCCATTAATGCTGTGACAAATTTATCATTATATTGACGTTTGTTTAGATTAAGTTTATATTTAGAAACAGCCATAGCTTATAGCGTTAAATATGTATTGCAAAACACCCGCCTATTCTCCAAAGTTGTGGAAGATTCTCGAGAGTAAGAATCAACAATATATGTATGTACATAAACGCTTTTGTGTTAGCATCAGTATTTTTACGTAAAAACTGAAATTTCTAGAAAGCCTCCACACTTCTATAAATATCACCAACGCGACCAAAAAAAAGTAGTATCTGTTATTAGTTTGCTATAGTCAATGTGCTATAATCTTCGGAAGCTATAACTGTGATTGTTATAACACTTGTCAATCGGAAAACTTCAGATATTTGACCAGGAGCATTTACAAAGTTTGAATGTTACAAATCATTTAACTTCAGTGGATTCTCATCAGACATTAGTATTTTTAAGAAAACATTACATAACTTCACTGTGGAAACTCGGCGTGTGTGGCTGGTGAATAATGAAGGACAAAGCTAGCTAGCTCCCTGTTAAGTGAATTATACCTACATCAACTCGCTCATTGTGAACCCTCAATTAGATATCGAAGAAGTTCCAGACTAGAAAGAAGACTTTATATTGATTGTTTGTGAAACTTTTGCTTATAAATCATTGTGTATAATAACTACTTGTAATAACTGTTATTGTAAATTGTATTGTTTTGTGTACATTAAAACATATTTGAGTTAAAAAAGAAAACTGTGTGTATCAATCTTGTTGGAAAATATCATAAACTGACTATATATCGGTTTTTACTTAACTGCTAAATCCAAAGTACAATTAAACTACTAAATTTAAATTATCGGTTAACTCTAATATGTAACAATGCACATACTATACACATTAAACAAAGAAATCCCATATCCTAAGTATAAATCATTTTTAGCATTTATATATGCAAATGATCACAGAAATATACACTTGTTATTCAAGAAAGGTATGAGACAGACCGACAGCCTAAGTTTACCCCGACTTAATGAACTCTGCAAAAAAAAAAAAAGATCATTTGTCAGATAACTGTCTCTTTCAGCGTAACCTGTCAGGTGCAAAAATGTAAAATCTTACATTAAACCATGTGTTGAAACTGATACTTCAAGCAATACAGCACACAGAACCATTGTAACATTGTAAAAGATCTTTAGATTGTCTGAATGTGTTGTTAAAGCATAACAAAATCTCAGTTGCTGGAAATACTCGTATGTGAGTAAGAAACATCTGTAAGGTCTGTGCAACATGTTATTCATGAATACAGACTTTGTATGGGCTGGGATACATCTCACCCAGGAATTCTGAGAACAATTTTGCTTAAACTAAAGAAGAACTGAAACAAACTGAAGCAGATGCTATCAAACTCTAGTTGAGATAATGCCATGTAGAAAAGCACCATCTATTATAAATCCAATACACTGTTGCACCATGATCAAAGGAACACTGCTCTACGATTATTGTCCTAATACTTTTGACAATGATAAAAAAATATTTTATTTAGAACGATAAAAAAATATGGTCATTTAGAAAATTTGTAAAAATCAACAGACCAACATAATATTGTAATTGTCCATTACTGATGAATATTAGCCAGAAATAAACTTTAATGAACATTATAAAGTATTCAGTATGATGAACACAACTGTTTTGATGATAGTTTAAAAGTGAAAAAACACTTATTCTGGGGTGAAACAGTCTAAGAAAGGTTTCAAGAAACCAAAATGAAATGCTATAGGTACAGTTTGTTTGTAATTAAGAACAAAGATACAAAATGGACTATCTGTGCTCTGCCCACCACAGGTATTGAAACCCGGTTTCTGGCGTTGTAAGTCTGCAGGCATACTGCTGTGCCATTGGGGGGTGCTATAGATCCAGAATTGTGTTATTGTATTTCTTTAATTTGAATTAACATGTTTAATTCATGTTGAAATGTGTAAATGGAATAATGTTTCTTGCTTTAAACTATACACATTAACATTAGTGATTCAGGTACATCCACAGCTCATTACAAACAGCATACAAAAAGCAGGAAGTGAATGTTAGTACATACAGGACTATTTCTTGCCCATTAAAGATAACTTGTACTAAACACAATTAAACAGAACAAACCAGGCCTAAGTAAGAGCTAACAGATGATTTTATATATAGAAATATATATATATATTTTTTTAATATGTACTTCCCTATCTAGAGTTAAAATTAACAGGATTCTAGCTGCCTCACGTCTCCATTGGATTTACCCAGGCCTCCAAAAGGCATGGTCAGTTAGTCTTGTTGGATCTTTGGTTCTTAAACAGAGTTGTGACAGCCAGAATGTGTTAATGTGTATTTCTAGCTGCCTCAGTCTCCATTGGATTTACCCAGGCCTCCAAAAGGCATTGTCAGTTAGCTTTGTTGGATCTTTGGTTTTTAAATGGAGTTATGACAGCCAGAAAGTATTAATGCGTATTCGAACAATGATGCACAGAGGCATTACACCAGAACAATTTTATGATTATTGTAATTATTGTGAAAAACATACCTTATTATTTTTGATATAATTAAGTTTTCAAGCATTCCTGATAACTGTTAGGCATAACAAATATATACATAATGACAAGAAAAATTACTAATAGAGAAAAACACAGTTTATCAAATTATCATTTAGATAAATTTCTAAAAGATGTTAGAATTACAGTCATTGTACCTATAGGTTTAAAATTTTGTATTGATTAATCCAAGTATTTGCTTTATTTCATTGGAACAAAAATTTGTTTTGGCCTTCTTATGAAGATTGATATGTTAAATATTGTACTATTTTTTTTAAATTGGCATAATGAGAATGGCTATTGTAATACTTAAGTAAATTGAACTGCCTAAATACCTATAAAATATAATTATTTATAGTGGAGTAACGTAATATCTCCACCTAAGCTTAACGTTCAGGTTGTTCTTGATTCACACCGTTATTGGTCCATTGGCTGAAGCTTCAAGAAAGAAAGAACTTTATATTGTTATAATTACAAGGTACTAAACCCAGTTTTGTTTGAATAACAGAAGAAGAAAATATCAATTGAGGTTTAATATAAAAGTACTATTATGAAATATCAATTCAATTTTTTCTTAACAACATATAGGCTTAACAACATCTTGTGGCAATCAAACACTGCAGATATTTTAATATATATATTTATATCAGTTCTTATATTTACAACTAGAATTTGCTTTTGTAACAATATGTGTGACTTGCAAGCAGCCTTCCAAATAATTCACATTATTCATAATTCAACAATCACAGAATTTTGTTTTTTTTCAGGGTATTATTTCCCTGTTAGGGTGCTCAACTCGCAACCTATCATGATCATCCTTTATGGTTGCCAACTGGACCAACCACCAAAGTGTAAAAGTTTTTATCTTACAAATATAGCACCCAAACCCAAACTAGCTGGGATTAAGGTCATAAAAACTTCCATGATATTTTGAAGTGATAACTGTACTCGTGTATAAACAATGAAAATGTTCAAAAGGTTAAATTAAAGTTTTATTGTGTATTTCATACATTTAGAACAGTTAAGATGTCAAAATGTCACAAACCACTGCTACAAACTTTATGCATTGTTCCCCCACCTTATAAATAAAGTACAAGACACACTTAATCGTTGAGACTGAACAGACTACTGCTTGTGCAATATCTGAACTTCTGAGAAACAGTCAAATAGCTCCAAAAGTCGAAGTTTGGTACTCTTGGTTGGATGTCATACTTGACTTTAATTTCCACCCCTGGCCCCACTGATCATGTAAAATAGTAAGTTTTAAGGGAGGGTTTACTATGAAGAAAAAAGAAAATTATATTCTCTGGCACCATTTGATGACCAAATCTATAAAGCAAGCTGTGTTAATATGACCCATGTACAGTAGAACCACGATTAACGGGCACCCAATAAAGTAGGCAGTTATCAACGTACAACTCACAAACAACCCATGTCTTGCATATAACCAAACAAAATTGAGGGTCTTAAAATTCAGAAGTTTAGTACAATCAGTACCAAATCCAGCTTTGCGTGACTCATTTTGATATTAAGGGCACCTTGCTATTAAGGACATTTGGATGCAGTTGGAAGGGTGCCTCTAATCTTGAAGTTCTATTGTATACAACAGGCTAGGCTAAATACAAATCATACATGTGTAACATCTACAAAGTTAATTTACAATTTATTGAGAAGTTTGTTATGGATATGTGCAGTTTGTGCAGTAAAACTAGACTAAAAACAACCTATGATCAAGAAGCATGCATATGTAACTGTCCCATGCCAATTTTAGTGCATTAGAAAAATAATGACTTCATTTTATACAAAAGATGCAAACTCCAAATGGATGTCTTTAAACTTGCAAGGAAGAACAAATATGTATTTAAAAACACACAACAAAGTACTGTTTATATATTTTTACACATTTTTATTTCTAAGGAAAAATGCATGTAATACGCTACATGCAAGAATAAAAAAATATTTGGTTTTTATTTTTCGTGAATTTTAAATACTGAAATAAAAACCTTGCTTGTCAGAAAGGGGCACGATCAACCAAGTTTAAACTTTTCTTAGTTTTTCATCTGATTTGCATAGATTAATTTTTTTTCCCCTATCACAGAACAATCTTATACCTTCTACACTGTTTAGGAAAATATTGGAATATGTTATTTATTGTCAATGTGTTCACACAAAATGTATTGATTCAATATGAAGATATTACACCTGTAATAACGGGTAAAATTTTCCAACTATTATGTTTACATATGCATACACAAAAGCACAAGTCAAAAGCTGAAACTAACTTACTTCTTCCGCGTCTTCTATATTTTCAAAATAGACAAAAGCAAATCCACGAGACCTTCCACTCTGAAAAAAAAGAAGTGATAATTATTAAAGGTCTCAAAGCCAATCTTTAATCATTCTAAATAATAGCCACAATTTAATATTAAAAAAAATACATTAAAAAAAAAATCAAATACTTAATTTTGTTTAATTTCTGACTGTGATAATAATTTATTGGTAACTTTATACAAACCTGTGCATCATAAACCACTTGAACTTGATCAACAGGACCATACTTAGCAAAAACTTCTTTTAAATCCCGTTCCTGTGTGTAAAGGCTCAAACCAAAGACACCTAAACATCGGCAAGGCTCTGGATTATCCTAAAGGTGAGTTAAAATTTTCGACTTTATTGTACCAATAGAGCAATTTACACACAATTATTGTTAATTTTAATGAAACCATTTTTATCAATACATGCAAATGATTTAGAAATAGTTTGTTTCCTATCTGCAAATTATTGAAAGATAAGTTTTTAAAAGATATAGTTAAAAGTTTCAATGAGCTATGTTCAATAATGTATGTATATTCCTCATTCTAGAAACACACTATTTTTATACAAGCACCATTAAGTTCCCACAAATCTTATAGAGTATATGTTAATACTAAATGTTAGTCATCTAACCCTCTCACACCTCAAGTACAAACAATCATCAACAGTACATTGAATAACTTTTCAAAATTTACTTAAAAAATAATGGACTTAGGCTGTCAATTTTTCATTTGTTTGTTGGAGTCTAACCCAACTGATATTATATCATGGACCAATATACAAAAGTCCAATATGACCCAGCAATAAAATTTGATAGTTATTAAATTATCAGCTACCACTACTTTTATTGGCTTACGATCGTGTACTGTTGATGAGAACACATACATACATACATAACATTCTTACCAAAGTAATTACACTACTTTCAACCTCTAGTGGTCCTAAAAAACAATATAAAAGAACAACATCACGCTGCACAAATAAAAAGCATTTTATTTGTGCAGTATGACATTGTTCTGTTTACCTAATGTTGTAGACCACATTTAACAAGCTTTCAGAAACATAAAATTATTTAGGAAAAGAGACTGCCTGGAAAGTTTTAACATTGAAGATGTTCATGTTGAGGCCTCTTACTAATGTAAAATTTAGAAATAGCACCATACGGATATGCTTGTGAGCAAAGTCAACTACACAGTCTTAAATGAATGATATATAATCAATTTCAAGTGATGAGATCTATTAATGAACTTAAATATTACCTGTTCTTCACTGATGTTTACAACACTGTTTATATATTCATCTAAATATTACTATTCTGCATACATTTATTATTACAAAAGTTATTATGGTGATATTTAATGTAGGCAGTAGAGAATATTAATTTCTTCATATTTACTTCAGATGGATATTTAGTTATTTAAATAAACAACATTAGTGACTTTTTTTTTGTTTTACAGACAGACAATTCCTCTCCCTAACATCAGTTTTAAATTTTCTCAATAAGTATGAGAGTTAAAATGGAAACATTTATGAAAGAACAAAGTAGATTTGATGTTCACTCTCAATTAAAAAATATTAGGTTTTACATTCTCTGAACAGCTTGTAAGTGAGGTCACACATTCTTAGTAATATGTTTATTATGTCACACTAATTCAAAGTATGTAGTTTTTATACAAATTATTCAACTTAACACACTTAAGATTACAGACTTTACAGAATATTTAACTAATCCAAAATAAATTTAACTTTCATTATTTTCAGATGTCTGAATATTTCAAATACTTCTAATCTGAATCTATTAGTATAGGTTATCTCGTCAACCTCAACCTAAGCAGTCAAGTGTTTATAGTTTATTCAAGTAAACATTTCATTCACTCACTCACACAAATCTTATATTTTGATTACATCCATTTCCTTATCAATTTCAGTTCAGGGTGACTAAACAAAACAGAATTTTCATTTGAACACTTTTTTTTTTTAAATCGAGGTAGTGTTATATAGCAGTCCTTGAAATTAGCAACAGCAAATCCATGGCATTTTATGATAAACAACTCTTTAATATCTAATACATAAACTGTCTCTCTTGACAGCTATTTCGAACAGTCATGTCAACCTGTTTTTAACATGATTTTTCCACATACATGTTCCAGGGTTTGGTTTGTTTTGAATTTCGCACAAAGCTACACGAGGGCTATCTGCACTAGCTGTCCATAATTTAGCTGTGAAAGTTTAGAGGGAATGCAGCTAGTCATCACCACCCACTGCCAACTCTTGAGCTACTCTTTTACCAACAAATAGAGGGATTGACCATCACATTATAACACCCCACAACTGACAGGGCGAGCATGTTTGGTGGGACAGGGATTCGAACCCGCGGCCCTCAGATTGCCAGTTGAGCACCCTAACCACCTGGCCATGCTGGGCCGCATGCTTGAGGGAAAGGCCAAGAAAGAGTAGGTGGATAATATTACAAATTAGTTCTAAGTTCTCTTGGTATATTAAGATTTTGTAAATATCACTGAAAATACAGAGAATTCCCCAATTAATATCTTTCACATTCTACTAGTTTCCTTAATAAAACATTTATTTTACTGAAAATGTAATTCAAAACCAAAACTGACACCCACTGTCAAACTATGTGTTTTAGTATTGGAGAGGGCTGTGAAGTTTATTAGTTGAAATTGACAAAAGTATAAAATATTTTAGATACAAAGCAAACAGAAAAAATTTGTTCATTTTATGTTCTTTGAAGAACAAAGAAAACAAAGTTGTTAGGTGTCTTTTACTGTATTTTGCTAGAAATGATCAATAATTTTTTTTTATTTTTATGAGTATTGTTTGATTTGACTTTCTGTGAAAGTTCATTATCATACGAGCAGAACAAAACAAAGTTTATGTTTCAGGGTTAACTTGGAAAGATGCCTATAATTTTGTGATTTCACCAAAGTTATTTATTCAATATGAAAGTTAATGCAAGTTCTCACTTATTACCTTATTGAGAATACTTGACTTGTGCCCCACTCATATATTAAGTGAATCTTTAAATGAAATAATCTCTCCAGAATGGATAACAGCATTTGTCAAGGTATTGTCTTGAATAATGCAACTATGGTAGCTTTTTCTTTTGCCATGGACTTTGATGTCCTAATTTCAAGGACTGTCTACATATGTAGTCTTTTTAAATATATATATATATATATATATATATATATATATATACACACAACACACACTATACAGAGACTAAATATACAACTACAACACTAGTAGTAGGTAAGTTAGTA